CGACACAATCATTTCTTGGACGGTCAAGAAGCAACACACAGTTGCTCGGTCCTCCATGGAATCAGAGTATCGAGCGCTTGCTGCACTTACGACAGACATCATTTGGCTAAGAAGACTTCTATCTGAATTCGGGATTGATCAAGCGGAACCCACGAAAGTATTCTGTGACAACACATCTGCTATTGCTCTGGCGAACAATCCAGTTTTTCACGCCATAACAAAACACATTGAAATTGATCAGAAATATATCCGAGAACATCTTCAACAAAACAATGTTCGTCTTATACCAATCAGTATCATTGATCAAACAACGGACATTTTTACTAAAGCTCTTTCCACACCAAGATTTGTCAAATTGCGAAACAAGCTAACAGTCTCCGAAGACCCATTAGCTTGTGGGGGAATGTTAAAGTATAAACACAAATAAATATATATTTGTATTTAGTTCTACTGCTTAGTTGGCATGAGCTCATTGGCTCTTAGGATTGTCTATTCTCTATGTAAAGCTGTAATCTCAATATGTTGAATAAGGAAATAATTCATTTCTTCTTCTTCTGTCTACATCTCTTCTTCTTGTCCTTGGTTCTGGAAACTTTCCTCTTTCTCTATTTCTTCAGAGAATATATAAAGTTTTTTAGGCATTTTGAATTAATGATTTAGCCTAAATAAAGTGAAGTCTAAGTGGATATTCCTATATAGACATCTTAAATCTCATGAAGAAATAAATCTTATGATTCATCCCTGTTTTTAGCGTAAATTCTGGACGTACTAAATTCAGGAGTTCGACGGATTTATGAGATTTGGCAGACGAAGAAACCTGCGAAATGGGAGAAAGATGATTACCATCATAGCGAGTGAGCTCCCATTGTTACTTTCAATCCAATATCATCTAAGGAGGCAAATAAGCTTCTTTAACAACTCTTTCAAAACTTTATTTTACACGAAGCCAAAGCAGCAATGAATAAATGGCCATGAAAAAGAGTACACTTTAGGCATGAAAAGCATAGATAATGATTAAATAAAATAAAAATTATATAAATAGACATGCAATAGAAGAGAAGAATACGTCTGCACTAAGGATTTGCATCTAATAACTTTTGTTAGTTTTAATTTTTTCCCTCTTTTTATTGTAATTAATAATGAGATTTCAATCAAAATATTTGATAATTTAGCTGATTTCTAATTTTATCATTTATAATTGTAACTTATTAGCGGTAATCAAATTGAAATTAATGAATAACTCATATTTAAAATATGAATTAAATTTAAATTTTAAATGAATTAACTACCTTAAATTCTAAGTTTTGTTGCCAAATATTTTTTGATTTTAGGCTTTAGTATCCTTTGTTTTGATTAAAAAAATATTTAATTTTGAAAAAGGATTAAATTTTTTTGGGAAATATTTATTTTTAACTTTTAAAATTGAACACGTCATTATGAACAGTATATCGCCTCGGGAGGTGATCATATCGTTCCCTAATGGGTTCAAATTTCAGAATTTTAAATTTATCCGAATTATCGTAATCAAAGGGGGAACAACATATGATCTCGAAAGATCAAAATGACGTTCAATCAATTGAATTTTGGTTTAAATTTCAAAGATCTAGGTAGATCCTAAGGTCTGGATTGACCCTAGTGACCTCATACAAAAATGAGGTCAACATCCTTATGATTTGAAAAATGATTACCACTGACCACTATTCATCATAAAAATATAACATAAAAAAACATAAAAATATATCATTGAAATTAATTTACATCCAATTAATACATTTTTTAAATATGTGTACTTTAAAAATATCAAAAAAAAAAAGAAGATGGTTATCATATTGATTTGATATAATTCCTTCATATTTGTAAGAGTTAACGAACAAGCTTGTTTATATTTATTTATATTGTATAACTTTAATATAATTTATTCATTACTTATTTATTATTATTATTAATTAATATTTGTTTAATTAGCTATGTTATGTGCTATAAAATTGTATAGATAGAGTCTTTGTTTTATTTCTTAGCGTTAGATAAAAATTTAGCAACTACATATAAAGTTGTAAGACAAAAAATTGTTTACATGGAAAATCAAAATAGTGAAAAAATTATGGGGCCTTACCCAATCGAAAATTCACTATATAATAGCACCTCACAATTTAACACGAAGAGGAAAGAACTATTTTGAGAACAACCATGTTTGAATTCCCCTGTTGGGATCATAAAAAACATGTGTGCGTACTAGATAGTTAATACCCAACAAAAATATTAGATCTTGATAGGAGTATGGAGTTATCGATGGTGACGATAGTTGGCATTGCTATTAGATGGTAATAACTCTTAGTGGTTGTTGGCAATGATAGTAAAAAATTCTAGAAAGCTTTATAGTTATTTCAACTCTTGGACCTCTTATGTAAAGAATGAAACTATATTTATAAACTTTTTGAGATAAACATTTTGGTAAATTCTGGCCATAATTCAAAACAGTCCATCATACGGGTCCATATTGATTTTCTTGGTCATGAATTATTTACTCAACAATTAAGTGATCTTATGTTCGTTAGATTCATCTCGTCGAACCGCTTAATTTGACTATAAGCAAGCTAAATTTAAAGATAATTTGATTATCCAATAAATACATGAAGTTTCCAATGACGTATCAAATACTTGTTTTTAGCTCATTTATGCTTGGATGAGATAACTTTTGATATTGTTTGATTCGTCTTGTCGAGATGTTCACTTCAACTATAATTTTGCTCAAATCAGAATTTAAGTGATATTGAGTTTTAAATCCATACTGACCACGCAAATTTATGGATGCATCTTAAGCTCTTTTTTAATTGAAGTCGGTCAATTTATCTTGACTCACTTGTTCATCAGACTTGTAAATTACTAATTGAATATTTAATTTAATTAGTTTTTAAATCAAAGAAGTCGACGGTCTAAATTTTAGCTATTTTTTTTAACATTTAGATTAATTAAAGCAAATTCATACATACATCATATATTGAATATTTAAATTTAAGACCTCTTAATTGATAGTCATTTTTTTTTTTTTTTTGAAAAATTAGGGCAAAAAGCCCATATATTACTATGTAAAAGAAGAATTACAAGTAAGGTATACCAAAAAGATTAAACTCAAACAAAATGCTGAGAATAACCAAAAACCTATACCCCCTTACAGCCAAAAAGTAAATCAAGATAAAAAAAAACAATTGGAAAGGAAACAGTCAACCGAATGAGGTAGATGGGTCGTCAAAATCGACTCAGACTGCTAATCGCAAGAGAAGCAGACACCGTCGAGAGAGCAATCTCCTGGTTGCCCAAAGGCCCTCCAAGGAGATAATTAGCAGTTACATCATCGTCCTATAGCAAAATCTATCAAAAACAGAATCCCATGTTGCTAAAAGTAGCCGTCCAGGGATTAAATCTCCATCAAATATCTGAGCATATAGTATGCAGTGCCTAGAAGATCCAGCAAAATCCATCATTAAAAATCCGTCCCGAACAGCCATTAATTGCCAACTGAGCCACAAAAACAGAGGAACTGCCATAAAGAATTCCATAATCCGCCATTCCAAAGCAACATCTCAATAGGTATCCAGTAGACATAGAGCAAAATTAGAGTCCCCCAAAGCCAAAAACAGGAAGCATGGAAAGAAAGATTTTAATGAAGCCAAGGAATTCTCAAATTTTCTGAGTGCTTCCAGCTTTTAACTTTAGCCTCAACCGCAATTTTAATAGTGTAGAACTCCTAAAATTAGAGTTAAACTTCCTTTCATTTTTTCCCTCCAAATGAAATAAGCTGCACAACAAGTGATCAAAAGTAGTAACTCTTTTTGCTTATTGTTCAAATATCTTTTATCACCCAAATGTTGCAATACTTGAAGAAGCCTAGGTCTCAACAGAAAATCACCCAGTTCTGGAATCAGTTGAGTTAAAACCGAGAATGCAAAATCACACTCAAATAAAATATGGGCATTAGTCTCCAAGTGATTAGAGCATAAAATACAAGTGGAAGGCACAGCAATTGATCTCTTAATAAGCTCCTCCACCGTTTTTAATCCACCCCTAATAGCAATCCATGTATAAATGGAGTATTTAAGGGTGTGATGTTTATGCCACACAAGATGATGCCAATCCACAATGACGCCCTTTCTATAAAAGAATTTATTAAAAGAAGAGAAACTAGGCTTTTCCCTATCAATCCAGGTTAAAGTACTAGATTCAAACTTTATGGTAGAGTAAATTTGTGCTGAAACCTTCCCCATATCCTTCTATAAGGGACAAGCAGTAGACGGAGGCAAGCACCAAGGAGATCCATATTTAGCATTCAAGTAGGTAAAAAGAGGGGATGTTGCATTATGAAACCTGAATATAAGTGACCAGATATTAGCAAATTGGAGTCCAAAGAGATCCGGAATGCCCAAGCCACCATTATGTTTAGGTTTACAGGTATGATTCCAAGCAATGAGTTGTAGCTTTTTTGCATCTAAATCCTCAAAGAAAAGAAATTTAGCACAAATCCCGCTCAGTCTTTTTAAACAAGTTTTAGGAATGATAGCCCCTCTAATCCAATAAGCTATGGTATTGCAAACAGTATATTTGAGGAATTGTAGACGACCCGCAAATGAAAGAAGCCTTGGTTTCCAACCCGCTAAGTGATTAGAGATAGAGTTTATGAGAGGCTGAAAGTTAGTTTTGCAAGACTTCTTGGCTGAAATAGTCAATCCGAAATAGACCATCTTCTCACAACAGGCAGAGATGTTAAGAGCCTCACACACAGGCATTTGATTGGTGATATAATTAGAAAGAATGAGCTTACTTTTCTCATGATTTGATTGGTGATATAATTAGAAAGAATGAGCTTACTTTTCTCATGATTCACCATAAGACCAAGCTGAGTTGCATAAATTTTAGCGTTTTTATTAGCTCACCGCTCACGTAAATGCGAGTGACGGTTTAGAATGGATCCTATTGGATCCTTCTGATCTAAAGCGACCGTTTAAACCCTAAACCCCCTCCTACCATGAGAAGAACATGGAGGCCCTCCTTAACCCTAGCCGATGCCTCTCCTTCTGTCTCCCACTTTCTCGTTTCAATGCACCGACCCTTCGGGTCCTCCGCGGCCGCCGTTGCAATCTCCCCCTTCGAATCTTTACCCGCCACAAGCCCTACTGCACATCTTCTTTCCGAGGTCTCCTCCATCCTCACTCGCCGGAGCTGGCACCGGAGCCACGTCTTAAGGAAACTGGCGCCATCTCTCACGGGCCACCACGTCACCGAGATCCTCCAAGGCCTCTCCGGAGACATAAATAAAACCCTAGCTTTCTTCCAATGGATTGGCGTCAGGCCAGACTGTAAACATACCGTTGAATCCTATGAAGCGCTATTCAGAATTCTCATAAAAGCTAGAATTTCGATCAATCTTTACAAGTTGGTTTTATCCATGATCAAATCATGCGGTTCTGCGGAAGATGCGCGCCGGGCTTTTTCAGTGATCAGAGGCCTAAGACGTTCTGTCGGCGGACGGCATGGTTTTGGTGTTAGATTTGAGCCTTCTCTTTGGCTTTACAATCTCCTGCTGAAGGCCTTGGCGAGCTTCAGATTGATGAGCGAGGTAAAAGTACTGTTTCGGCAGATGTTTAAAGATGGAATTTTCCCGGATTTGTTTACTTATAACACCATCATCAAGGCATATTGCGATGAAGGAAATCTTGCTGAGGTGAAGAAGTATATTAGGCATTTATTGGATGTTGGATTGAGACCAGATTCTTTTACTTATAACTCTCTGATATTGGGGCTTTGTAGGAATAATTATTTGGAAAGGGCTTGCTGGGTTTTCCTGATGATGCCTGAAACTGGATGTAGCAGGAATGTATATTCTTATACAATTATAATTGATGGTCTCTGTGAGGCCCATCAGATCGATGATGCCTTCTTGCTCTTCTCAAAGATGAAGGAAGAAAGGTGTCTCCCCAATGTGCACACTTACTCCATGTTAATGAATGGGCTCTGCAAGGATGGAAAGCCGGAGGTTGCAGAGGAATTGCTGAACGAGATTTCGAAGCAAGGTATCCTCACTAGCACTGCGACATATAATACTTTGATTGATGGGTACTCCAAGGCTGGAAAGTTTGAAGCTGCTTTTGGAGTTAAAAAATTGATGGAATCAAAGGGGTGCAAAGCAGATGATTATACTTACGCAATCATTATCAGTTCTCTGTGCAAGGAGAATAGGCTAGGGGATGCAGAAGCCATGCTCGATGCAGGCATTAAGAATGGTTTGAAGTTTAATGCCTTTCCTTATACTTGCTTGATTGATGGGCATTCCAAAAGGAAAAATTTTATTGATGCCTTTCGTGTTCTAAATCTAATGAAATTTAATAATTGCAAGCCAGATGTTTATGTTTATTCTTTGCTAATCAACTGTTTGTGTAAAGAGAATAGACTTTATGATGCTAGGATGATGTTGAATACAGTTATCAGGGAAGGGCTAGTTCCAACTGTTGTTACTTTCTGTCCTTTGATTGGCGGGTATTGTAATACTGGAAATATACATGCGGCAGAGGAGATTTTAGAACTGATGGAATCAAAAGGATGCAAAGCAAGCACTTGGATTTATAACTTGCTCATGCAAGGATTTTGTCAGAAGAGGAATGTGCATAAGGCAATGACTTTGCTAAGCAAAATGCAAAATGAGGGGTTATCTCCTAACCTTTATACATATACCTTACTAATTCATGGACACTGCAATGAAGGTGAGGTGGAGAGTGCATTTATGTTGCTTAAATCAATCGAATTTAGTGGCATAGTTCCTGATCAGCATATATACTCGATTCTAATAAACGCCTTATGTAAACATGGGAGATATGAGGATGCTCTTTCTCTCTTCAACTCTTTGAATGATATAGGCATAAAAACAAATGAGGTGATCTATAGTGTGCTAATAGATGGATTATGTAAATGTGGAAGGATTGATATTTCTCGGTTGCTTTTTGACAAGATGGTTTTTGAGGAATGCTTACCGGATGTATACACCTATAGTTCTTTGATAGATGGTTTATGTAAAGAGAATAAACTGCAAGAAGCATTGTCATTATTTGGGGATATGTTGAAGAAGGGTATAGAGCCCTCAGCCACAACATATACAATTCTTATTGATAACAGATTGAAAGATGGGGAACATGAACATGCCAAGAGATTATTGAATGAAATGTGTTCTTCAGGATGTAATCCTAATGCTTTCACATACACTGTGTTCATTCGCGCCTATTGCAGTGAAGGAAGGATGGAGGAGGTTGAGAATATTATTACTGAAATGAGAAAAGCAAAAGTTTTGCCTGACTTGACTACCTACACAACCTTGATGGATGGTTATGGAAATTTAGGGTTTATGGATCGCGTATTTGGTTTATTGAAAGAAATGATTGTTTCTGCATGTCAACCTGATTATTCTATTTACTTCATTATACTAAAACATCTATTTAAGAGAAAGCTAGGTGATTTTAACGCTAATGACATTGCTGACGTGTGGAAACTGGTGAAAATGGACAGCATCTTGGAGCTTTTTGATGAGATGATTAGACATGATTGCTTTCCAGATCTTATCTCTTATAATGCCATCATTTCTGGTTTCTGCAAGGAAGGACGATTGGAAGAAGCTAGTACTTTGTTTACTAAGATGATAGAAAGAGGTTTGGTTCCAGATGAAGATACCTATACGTTTTTCATTAGTTGTTGCTGCAATTTAAAGATGCATACTGAGGCTTCTTCATGGATAGGCTCTATGATTGAATGTGGTTATCTGCCACGTATAAGGACTTACCATCTTCTTCTAAGAGGGCTTTGTGAAGAGGGTAAGTTTGAGGAAGCTAAAGCTAAGTTCCATGAAATGCTTGGGATGGATTATAATTTTGATGAAGTTGCATGGAAAGTTCTTATAGACGGGCTATTGAAAGAAGGATTTATTAATGTTTGTTCTGATATGCTATCTATCATGTTGGAGAGGCACTGCTCTCTTGGTTATCGAACATTTGCTCTGTTAAATGAGAGTTTATCAAGAGTGTCCAATGAGGAAGCAAACCAGTTTGATACTTGAAGGCTATTTGATGATCGAAGTCATGATTGTGGGAATATCTATTTGATGTCAACTCTCCTGAAAGGAGACATGGCTGGTGACTGATTATCTTGCATTTCGAAATGAGCGATGCTTATCTGGTGTAGCAGGCAAGTCACTCATTTGATCCTTTTTTTGTCTAAATGCTTATCGATTGATTTCTTTATTTAATTTTAGAACTAGTATAAATGATTATTTTCTTTTTATTTCTACTAAGTTTATATGAAATTCAGCAGCAATGGAGGTGCTTGTTGTACCTATTTGAGAATTGGCATTTAAAAACCGTAGTGGGATTTGCAAAATTCATCTATTTTCATATTTACTTAACGTTGACTAGAATCATTAGTTGATATAATAAATCAATTAAACATTGCAAAAAATTCCTTAGTAAACTGAATTTTTTCTTAAAGTACTAGGTGTGCTTAAGGCTCACTCAACAAATTTCCCGCAATATGTTTTATTTGGTGAAAAAGTCATTTTTCTAGGACCATGGTTATTTAGATGTAGTTCAAAGCTATGATAGTTTTCAATTTTGGAAGTCATACAAAAATCTCTTACAATTTCTTGCAAAATCACAGAGTATTCCTTAAAAAAAAAGTAGAGTATTCCTTACTATTTTTTAGAGAAGCACCTAACTCTACGCAGAAACATTACCAAAATAGAATTTGATGACATTCATAGTGATCACAAAGGGATTATGCACTAAAAAAAAACCGATATTTTCGGGATTCAATCAAAATAATAACTTACATCTATAGAAGAGAATAAAGGATTCAATTAGCTATAGAGAAGCCAAATATATTTATAAATATAACGGGGCATTAAAAAACACTCTTCTCTTAGCATGAATACACCCAATCTCACTAGAAAACAGAAGCCTCACATCTCTCAAAATAAACAAAAGAGATAATAACTCAAGAGAATATATAAAGAATATTTAACTAACACCAAAAAATTCTAATTGAAATTTCCTCAGAAAGGTATTTTCCCTTGTGTTTATGGAATTATGGCATCCACCATGTCAGGTGATATTCCATGTTCATTGAAAATCTTTTTTTTTTCTCTTCCTCGTCTCTTTTCTCCACTCAATTTTCTTTGTTTTTTAATTTCTCAAGCTCTCCCAATTTTTGCATTTCTTGACAACGGGTAAAGTCAGCCGCTAGTCTTTCCATGAATCTCAAGCTTTTGTGGACTACAAGGCCAATGCATTCAAATGCCTTAACAAGCAACGCTTCCCAATGTATTTTGTCGAACTTTATATCAAACATTTAAAACTGTTTTTATCCTATTCGAAGTTCTTTGGCGCCCTCTCCCTAGTGGTAACTTCTTTCATCTCTTGGATCTTCTATCTCCGCCAAAAGTCCACTACCTCTTGAGTGATACGTCCCCAAGGTGAACTTCTCATTGCTAAACGTTGGGTTTTGTTGTCGTACTTTGCATACTAATTCGCCTAGAACTTTGAAAGAATCGTTTTGGTTAATCTAGTTTGCAACTCTTTCGCCTAAGCAAAGTTGACGTTTTGACATCTTAACTCAATCTTGCATGATCCCATAAAATTATAAAAGCAAACTTTTACGATTCTCTTTTTAATTTTGAACGTAACTCCTAGTAGTTTTACATCACATTTGAACTCAAATCCCATAGGGTAGATGCTGCCATTTGATCACATATCAAATGTTCATGTGTAGGATCTAAGTGTGCAAGTTGCATGCAGTGTTCTCCTTTCCTAAAGTCATATGTCATGACAAGATTGACTTCGATTATAGGAGCTTGCACTTGATAGGGGTTGTGAGTTGCTATAACTCCTGTAGACACTCAAAATGCATTTTGATTGATTTGGAAAATAATCAGTGACTTGTTGTAGGATTTTATGTGAACCCTCAAAGATTCATTTTACATGTCCTCGAGCATGCGTAGTTAATCAAACTCATTTCGGATGTGTTGTGAAGCTTGTAGAGAGACGATAACAAATAATCGATTGCTCTCATTTGCTAAAATCCCTAAGATGGGAGACTTTCATTCGTGCTTCCAATACACTATATCATGCCAAAATTTATTAGAATTTTCCTTGGGCCTTAGATGTGTATTTCTTGCATGCGTGTGTAGGTTTCAGATGTATAAATTGCATGTGGAGCTATTCAATTCTCATTTTCATGACACAATTGACATGTATTTAGGGGAACTCGCATACATTAAAATTGATTGCCCCTAGAATTTGGTGTAAGCTTATAATAGAATTGTTTGATGCACTGTGATTATCTATGATATCAAATAGTTGTGAAGTTTACCATAAGTCCCCAAAGACCTATGTTGTAAACTTCAAAATATGCATGATCAACCAAATCCACGATGGCTTCTTCACCAAATTTAGAGCATTCAAATGACAATCATCACTTGCTTGAAACACTCTCAACCTTTGAAAATTTGGAGAACAATCAAATAGGGTCATTTAATTTTGAAATGAACTTGGGATGTTGTATGGGCCCTCAAAGGCCCACGAGCCCTCATATTTTAGAATTATTTAACCCTATTTATGTAACTTTTAAATTAGAAGGTTGAAGTGAAATGATCAATTTCCTAAAATGCAAATCACCTACATACACTTCTAGGATTTCTAGTTCATATCCAAATGATTTCAAAACCTCTTAGAAATTGTAGGAATCAATCTCTCCTCTCTACATGAGTCTAAAACACTCCTAAAAGAAATTATGGAGCTCTCTTTCAAGTGAACATCTCCTTCATGCATGATACTTAGAGTCTCCTCAAGGCTCTAAGTGTTATGTTGCATGAATCTTAGCATACCTTAGGAAATACGAGCTATCATCGATCTTCCGCATGCACGGTGCCTTGGATTTCCCTAAATTGCTACATGCATCGTGCCACTAGCTCGTGAACTTAGAACCAAACTACAAGTTCCCCTATCTTCTTTGTTGGAGCACAAAACCAACAAATCTTCTCCTTATTTGTTGCTCTCAAAGCTGACATAGAGGTTTCTAAATGACCTCTAAAGAGCCCAAAAAGAGCGCTAGCAAATCTTAGGGTCAACTTCTAGATTCATTTGATTTGTTTGTTGAAACACAAAATCAATAAACAAGTAATCATCTCTCTTCTTTATGCATGACTATTTGAAATCCTCCAAGATTTCAAGGGCATCGTTGCATGAAGCTCTTGAATTTAGAACCAAATTCTGGGTTCTACTTTATTCGTTGTGACACAAAACTAATGGATACTCTTTTAGACATAGGATCCAAGTTCCTTGTTCTCCTCATTTGCCTACCCACACATTAGGCAAATGGATACCTCTTTTGAACACTAAAAGTTCAAAGAAACCTTTCCAAATTTGTAACTTCTAAGTTGCATTTTCCCTCCTTTTACAAAGCTAAAAAATTTGTAGAAAATTCTTCATTTGCTTAGCCCCAAATTAGGCAAATGAATCTCTTTTTGAACACCAAATGCTCAAGGAATTTCCTCTAATTTGCAACCTCTAAGCTGCACGCCATTTTCCATATTTACCTAACACAAATTTAGAAAATAATCATGCTTCATTGAAGATAAAATTCAACGAGTCATCCTCTAATTTACAACCCAGAAGTTGCATATTTCTTCTCTCTTTCTACAATTCAAAAGTTGTAGTAAATTCCAACATTCATTTAACTCATATTGAGTGAATGAAACATACACCAAATTATTTATTTGTTGAGCCAAAATCAACACATAATTCCACCTTTAGTAAGGAATCAACATCATATCTCCCCTTCATTCTCCTTACCCAAATTGGATGAATGAATTCCTCTCTTTGGACACCCAAAAGTTCAAAGAACCCCTCTTGATTTATAGTCCAAATCTACATATCATCCTCTTATATATGTTTTACCCATATTTAGCAAATTAGACTTTTATCATTGAACACAAAATTAAAAGATAACTCCAAAGTTGCAAATCATCTTTATCATCTATTAAGCTAAAATCAATTGGTGACTCTCTTGCCACCAAACATAGGATTTAAAGTTCCAACTCACTTCATTTGCTTAGCCTAAATTAAGCAAGTGAATCCTCCTCTTTGAATACAAAATTCAAGAAGACATCCTCTTGATTTGTAGCCTCAAAGCTACAAGTCTTCTCTTACTTCTATGGGCTCCAAAAGTCTTAGAAGGTTTTTAACCTTAGCTCATAAGCTACTCTTTCTCCTCCAACTTTAAAGTTGTAGGAGATTTTCTCTCTTCTTAGCTCCAAGCTGAAGAGAACTCTCCAACCCGTAGCACAAAAGCTATAGGTTGGACATCTTCTTTCCTTTTCTTTAGTCCCAAAGCTAAAGGAAACTCCCCTTTCCTTAGCCTCAAAGCTACAAGCCTCATTTCATCTCCTCCGAACTCTAAGTTGTAGGAGATTCCCCTTTCTTTAACTCCAAATTTAAAGAGAATTCCCAATCCCTTAGCTCCAAAGCTTTGGGGTCTTACATTTTCATCTATTTTGATCCCCAATCGAATAGATGATCTCTTTACTTGGATCCAAAATCTAAGCAATCATTTTCACATAATAAAACAAGTGATCTTTTTCTCCTCTCATGAAAACTAAAGCACAATCTTTAGATGTCCTTTAGGAGCCATCCATCTTCTGAAATTCACTTTATTCTATTAGGTGAATTTCATAAAGTTCTAAGTCAAACCCTTAGGTATGTCTACCTTACTATGTTAGGTAAACACTCCTCTCTTATCCAAATATTAAGAGAACATCAAAATTCTTAAAAATCACCTAAGTTTCTTTGATACAATAATTAATCATTCCACCCTAACAGGTGTAATGTCTATATCAATGTATTTTAGGATTCATAAGTAGCAGGCTTGTCTCAAAGCAAGCAGTTCCTACCATAGAGGTGGATCAGGAGGATTAGCATACCATAGGTGAAGCCCAAGACCCACCTAGAAGCCAAAGCTTGAAGATCCCACAAATTGAGTTTGTAAAGAAATTATTTCTAGATTGTAAAATGGTAGACAACTCAGCTGCATAAAATATTTATAATAATTTTGACATTCTTTACATTCCTGTTTTTTGGTTGATTGTATATATACAAGTATGTTTTTTATTATTTACTGAGTGTGCACTAAAAATGTATGTTTTTTCCTAGGTTTCTTCTCTTGTATTACTTGGGGGTGGCTTGGACTTGTGTTATGCGGTAGGCTCTTTGGATAAAATTAATTTTTTTACCACTTAATATGTAAGCAATCTAAAATCAATCATATGAATCACCAATTTTCAAATAAAAGAAAAGTTTTCATGGTTCATTTTAATGAGCTAAGTTTAAAAAAATTAAAATGATCATGCAGGGCTAGTATATCACATGTAAAAAGCATTCACTTAAGTACCAGATAACAAAGAAATTTGCATTATGCTAGTTAGCATTTTTCATAACCACATGATCAGACATCTTATCCAAAAGCCAAGCTATTAGTCCTATTCTATAAATAAAAAACAACATTCCCTACTCTTCATATGCATTGAGATCGGACTGTATGGTTTTAAAAACTATTAGGTGGGTTTGCTAGTCCTTTACAGGCATGGTTGTTCAGTCGGGCTGACTATGCCTCAGGTGAGGTGTAGGTTTGTAATTTCTTTTATTTTATTAGATTTATGTTCGAGATACTAACTATTAGTAGTCTCATCTTAGTTCTAGGATCCGAGGTTGTTGTTGACTATAGTTACTTCATAAGCCCTCATATTCTGGGCATTTCCTCCAATATGTGTTGTCGTAATATAAGCGCCAACATTCTAAATTAAAGTGGTCAACTTAAAGAAAATCTGATGTTAAAATATAAAACCCAACATAAGATAGTTTAAGAACCTCTGAGTTGTCTGAGAATCAACTACTCGCACATGACATTCCTCTGGCTTCAATTCTTTAAAATTTGATTTAAATTGATCTTATCATCCTTGAAATTCTCAAAAACTAAATTTTTGAATAAGAATTTTATAAAATGAAAACATTAGCCAATATTTTGATGACTAAAAAAAGAAACACTAGTTTAATCAAAAGTATTCTCAAGTGATAAATGTTTGAAATGTATTTAACCATAGGGGTTGCCCTTATGGGGTATATGTACCTCATAAGTCATAATAAAATAAACTCCATTCAACCAAATCTTGAATAGGAAAAAATCTTCCTTAAAATTAAAATTATGAGTTTTGTTATTGAGTTCATAGCAAAATAATATTTTTATCCTTCAGGATAATATATTATTTTTTATGCTGTGCTCAATCACAAAATATCCCAATCTGCTGAGGATGAAAAAATTTATCCAACACCGATATCTAAGAGGAGGCAACCATTGTTGCCAATCATACTTTGTAGACGTTGTAGTTCAAAGCTCTTTGCCATTCGCATATTGGGCCCATTGGTATGCTTGGGATAATGAAATTATGTGATTTTGACTGGGTCTATCTCCACCCACCCATCTAGCCATTCTCTGTCAATTAACGTCAAACTTAAATATTGAATCTAAATCTTAATTTGAGCCTAAGCAACATTTTTAATTGAGAGTCCTGTTCTACATGCAACAGGATAATTTACTATGGTGTTTTGTACTGGTAAGGATTATTGATTTTAGATTTAAATAAATTCTGACATAACATTAAGTAAAATCTTATTAGAATAAACTAATCTATCTCATGAAAAATTATGCCTGAAATTTTTCATTTGCTAAGGAGGAGGAAGGGGTTGACTTTTCCTAAACTATCATAAGAGGTATACAAATAAATACTTCTCCTTAAAGCCAAATACATGTGTCTTACTAGAAGCCAAATTTCATCGATCTTACTAGAAAGGAGAAGCTTTAAATCTTTCATGATAAACATGCTTGCTATACTTGTCACAACAATTCTAGCAGTGTTTCGACAGGATCAAGATGTTACTCCATAGCACCTAAAAATCATTTATTCTTTGTTGCTTCTCCTTTTCTCCTATTTTCTCCACTCAATTCTAATTTCTTGTGCTTTCTTTTTGTGCGTTTCTTAATAACAGGTCTCCATCCATTTGCTAGTTTCCCATGGGAACCGCAAGCTGTGCACATCACGATCCCAGTGCGTTCACTGGCCTTAGCAGCAAGGAAACATTATTCTGTGCGGAGTTCGGACGTCGTTCAGAGACTAATAAAAATACGTCACATCACCTCAAAAGTGTAACGCGTTCGGTACCGAGCACGAGGCCGAGCAGTACTGAGCGGTTATCTCGTCCGGTGTCTGCACGGAATTCTCTCTCCTTAGCAAGCGACAGATCCTGAAGCCCATAATTGAATAATCTCGACCAGATGCTATGTGAGATGGTTCCACTTCAGATCTATTTTTGCAGTCCATAATTGTATGAAAGATATATGGTACTGTGTTATCATCCCTAACATTGTTAGATGATCAAGGATGAGAAGTACTTGTTGTAGGGTTATGGTGTACCAACAATATTGGATGTCCTGACTATACCAAACAAGTTATAAATGTTGCACAATAGTTCTTACTTTCACTTAGAAGGCCTTTCGTGTTTGTAGTCAACCCATATTTGACTCATGTATTAAGTGGGTTAAAAATCTCAATCTAAACCTGTCTTAAACAAATTTGACCCTGACCTTGACCCATCACAAAGAAGAAAAAAAAAACCAAGCAGGTTGTGATGGGTCAGTATTAACCTAAAATTGATATGGACACAATTACCTAATTTGAATATGTTTTTTATTTGGACAAGATAAATAAAGAAAATACAATTCTTTTTTAATATGAAATTTTCATAAAAGTCATTATTTTCAAATTGGCTAAAACTTGACTCAGCATGAATTATTATTATTATTATTTTGAGTCATTCAAGTTCATCTCATATGATACAAACTTGGGGAGAACACAATCAGATTGTTAGAGTTATAGGCTTCATTTGGAATAACCTTCTTTCTGCTTTCTAAAGCAGCTTTCTAGTATAAAAGTTTATTGAAAGATGTAAAAAAAAAATCGCAAAAATTTATCCCAAATGAAGCCTTAGTTAAATTAATAGTGGCACATTTCGATTCTATTCCAACCAAATGCTCCAATTGTTTATTTCACATACGATTATTACATTTCAGAGTTAGGCTTCGTTTGGAACAACTTTTTTCTGCTTTTCACAACAGATTTCTAGTATAAAAATTCATTAAAATTTGTGAAAAAATAGTCAAAAAAACTGTCCGAAATGAAGCCTTAGTTCAATTCAAATTGGCACATTTCGATTCTATCCTAACCAAACACTCCAATTGTTTATTTCACACACAATTATTGTATTTCATTGCTCCAAAATCTGACTATACGTCCTCCGACCGGACGTAGAGGAACGTCCGGTCGGAGGCAAATTCCCGCCAAAAAATGAGTTGTATCGAGCAAATACCGAGCAATACCAAACAATAACGAAGAATACCATCATTTGAAGAATCAATACCGAGTTATACCGGGCTTTACCGAGCAAATACCGAGTTATACCAAAGTTGTACTGAGTTTTTTCCAGAAAAACTCGGTATTTCTCGGTACAACTCGGTATAACTCGGTATTGGTCTTCAGAGAACGGTATTCCTCATTATTATCAAATAATACCTAGTTGTACCGAACAAATACCTAATTTTTTTACGGGAAATTGCCTCCAACCGGACGTTCCTCTACGTCCTTGTACTGGACGTAATAAAAGTTCGACTAAATAATCCAATTAGACACATATTGGATTGGATCAATTCAAACCCGGTCCATAACAGCGCCGGTTCATTAAAAAGATTATGAATAAAAACTTGAAAAGAAAAACCTCAGCCAGGCACCGTCCGGTCCGAAATCCCTCACTGTATAAACTTGAAGCAGAAACCTGGACCCGAACTGTAGCGAGGAGGGGAATGACGACGGCGACGAGGCTGATAGCCAAGAGATCCAGCAAGTACTTGGAGGAGGCGCTGTACAAGAGACTCTTCCGTGAGGGAAGCTCACCGCCGAGCATCAGAAAGGAGCTTACCCTCTTCCTTAAGAGCCGAAAGCGCGTTTTCAAATGGGAGGTCGGATTATCCATCCGCAAGCTTCGGGAACGAAAACGCTTCCTTCCAGCACTTAAGGTGACTGGGAAACCTTAGATTGATCTCTTACATCAACTTCTATGTCGCCCTATCGCTTTTTCGGTCCTCTTCGTTTTTCGGCTTTCAGGAGTATTTTCAGAGGTCGCAAACGCTATAAAAACGTTGTTTTGAGTTTTTTTTATGCTTTGAGTGTTAAATCTTTCCGTTTGGGTGTAATTTTGTATTCAGTCTCAGCTTAGATGTCGTTGGAGTGTAAATTGTTGTGATACGCCATCGTTTAAAAAAAAAAAATTTCTCTGAGGCATGTCTTGGTAATTACTTGGGATGCATGGGAGACTAAATAGAACTGAGGATTTATCTAAACCAAGTTTAGATGTCATGATTGGATTCTGTTGAAGTTGCTGTTGATTGTTTTCCTCTGTTTAGACTTTGTATTCCCATTTCCACGATTCTTCAGTGCTAGCTAATAAGCTATGATTGAGTATTTTGTCAAGAAATAACAATGTGATACCGTAAGAATTCAGAGCTGGAGCTTGATATTGGTAGATTTGGTCTATGCCTTGGAGTTAAAAAAATTGACAAGTTTTTGCTTCGAAGGCCTGGATAGTACCCTGGAAGGCACGTCCTTTGCCAATTTCTGACTTTTCAAAGGGATTCGGGGCCATTGAAATCCATGTTATGCAAAATCCCTTTAACCGTGGTTGACTTTTTGCTGTATCTGGCTAAAAACTAGTGATTACAATTTCCAAGCCAGTAGATGTATTAATCGTCAAATGATTCATAAGCTGTAATGATTCCTAGAAGCTACAGCCTGCATTAATGTTCCTATATTTTTAGCTTCTTCACCTGTTGCGTGGTATTTTCCAAAGAATTCCATATCATAGCTTTCAGGATGAAAGAGGTTCCTGCCTATAAGTTGTAACCTCTTCCAGTATGATGTAGCGGCACTTTATCAACCTATTTTGCTGATTCAATTTCTGTAGTGATATTATAGGCTTCGAAACCGTGGAGCTGCCCTCTTGAAAGAACAGGTTGAAGTTGTGGTAGAGCCACAAATAGTTTGGTGAGTTGGGGTAAATGTGCTACCCGCAATAACTCTTGTGGGTTTTAGGAAAATAATTAGTTTCCTCCATTTAATTACACAGTTGAATCAGCTCCTTTATTCTCTGTTTTTTTTTTTCCTTCTTTTCAGTAATGCATGCCATTAGAATTTAAATTATATTAAAGTTTTCAAGTACGCCATTAAAACCCAGTAGCTGTTTATTAGTTTTGAGCTCTTTGCAATTCCTAGTTGTAACAAATTTGGTTTGTAATTTTAAAGCGACTATAGCATTAATTCCGTATTCATATCATCAAAACAAATTTACCAACACCTTAGAGTTACTGGCACCTACATTCTCTCATTTTTTGTATTTTTAAGTCTTAATTCCAAAAGAGCTCTAGACTATTTAGCACTTAAAGTTTTTCGATTTCTTTCTCATCGATGCTCCCAAAAGTTTTTCAACTGCTTTCTCATCGGGTGCTCCCACTTCATCTCTTTTTGGCTTTGATTGGACCATTATATTGAACCCAAAATCAAAACTTTCTACTGATCTGGGGTTTGGGAGTTGCTTCGTACATAAAATTTTTTGTTCTTGTAGAGTTCAAAGGTGGGATAAAGGTTTTACAGGGCACAATAGAGAAAAAAGATTCATGCAGCTAACTTCACGTAGTGGGTGGGATAAAGACTTGATGTTATTGTTGTTTTCGTAGAGTTCAAAGGTGTCCCACAAGGTATTTATGAAGGCTTGCAGCATTGTGCATTTCGACAAATTTTCTATTTGGTAGTTTTACTGAAGTTGCATACAAAAATTATTTTCTATAAGATAAATTTACAACTCTAAGATCAATTTATTGTGCGATATACATTACAATACCATAATTAAGTCTGCTAATTTTTTTTATTGGTTGTATTATGCTTTAAAGTGGAATTATGTTCCATAAATATAATTTTGTTTTTATTTAAGCCAGTGTCCTTTGTGCATCTTTCCCATGTAGTAAGGATCTCATACAAGAAAATAATAGTTATCAAGAAATACATCATCTAGAATTGTAATATTTAATATCCATATTGAGTGATCAATACCTTGATAAAAATAAACTATAATTCCCTTGATAATGCATCAATAAGCTGAAGGAAGCAGCATAGAATCATCTTTCTTGGACCGGATATTCACCATCCTTCTGTGGTGGGATTAGCAGTAATGAGTATCTTTGAATAGTGCTTATGATTTTTTGACTTTGATAAGGAATTTTATGTGTTAAAAGGAGACCAACAAAACTTTAGTTCATATGTATCGTTCTGTTTAATTTTGAGTGTAGGTTTCAGCTTGTCTTAGGTTTCATTTGGGACTGCTTTTTTACTGCTTCTTAAAACAGCTTTTTAGTATAAAAATTTTAATTTTTTTTGCTAGAAAGCTACTTTAAGAAGCAATAAAAAAGCCGTCCCAAATGAAACCTTAGTCTTAAGGGCTTGAATATCTTGGCTTTTGTTCTTAATCTTGTTGGATAATTTAAACCGTTAGGCATGCAGTAGACCTTGCTACTACTCTTAATTCTTTCCTTCTAATAACGCGAAGTCTTGTTTTATTTTATGATTAATTTGGTAGTGTTTAGTTTTGAATCCTTGATATATCAAGTTAAAAGTATGTCTCGTAATCATGGCATACTGTAAAGTTGGTCATCTCTTCTTCAGCTTTCTTTGAGTTTTAGTAGTTGATGACGGTAATTAATGAACTATGCTCTGAATTTTCTTGGTCTTCTAATTTGTTATATCAGAATGAAGGTGTAAATAATACTAAATCTTAAGAAGGTTCTTGTTGTAGCTTCAAGAAACTATGGCGAAGAGAGGCATGAACTTGACACTCAGTGATCATGCAATCCAGCTAGATCTTGTAGCCAAGGCCAGGGGACTTAGTGCTGCAGAGGAATACTTTGTCAAGCTCCAAGACCATGCTAAAAACCATCTAACTTATGGGGCGCTACTCAATTGCTACTGCAAGGAACTGAAAACAGAGAAAGCAGAAGCCCTCGTAGAAAAGATGAAAGAGTTGAATTTCATGTCCAGTTCAATGGCCTACAACAGCTTAATGACCCTCTACTCAAAAACCAATCAACCTGAAAGGATTCCCAATATCATACAAGAAATGAAGGCTAATGACATCCTACCCGATTGTTACACCTATAACATTTGGATGAGGGGCCTTGCTGCCATGAATGACATATCTGGGGTGGACAGGGTCATTGAAGAGATGAAGAGAGATGGCCGGATTTCGGCAGATTGGACTACATATAGCAACCTGGCATCCATCTATGTTGATGCTGGCATGTTTCAGAAAGCTGAAGTAGCTCTGCTAGAGCTGGAAAAGAGAAAATCACTTTCAAACCTCGAGGCTTATCAATTCTTGATCACACTTTATGGTCGAACTGGTAATCTTGTTGAAGTTCATCGCATATGGCGTTCTCTGAAGCTGGCTTTCCCTAAGACCCCAAATATTAGCTATTTAAATGCGGTTCAGGTGCTCGTGAAGCTGAAGGATATGCCAGCTGCTGAAGCATTATTCAAGGAATGGGAATCGCAGTGCTCAACATATGATATGCGGGTGGCCAATGCGTTAATTGGGGCTTATTTAAAGGAAGACATGTTAGAGAAAGCTGAAGCTTTTAAGAAGAGAGCAAAGAAGAGAGGTGGAAGACTAAATTCCAAAACATGGGAGATCTTCATGGACTACTACATGAGGAAAGGAGATATGAAGATGGTACTGCGGTGTGTCGATCGTGGAGTGAAGAAGGGTAGAAGCCATGGGAGGATCTGGGTGCCGAAGAATGAAGTTATTATGGCATTGATGGCTTATTTTGAGCAGAAGAAGGCTGTAAAGAGTGCGGAGAAATTGATTGAGCTTTTAAAGATGGTGCAGAATGATCTGGGAGAAGAGGTTTTTGAGGCCCTTGTAAAGGTATATGCAGCTGCTGGAAAGACGAGCCCCGGCTTGCGGCGACGATTGAAGATGGAGAATGTGGTGATAAGCGATGAGACAGAAAAGTTGCTTCAAACGGTCTGTGTGGAATAGTAAAGCATTGCCTTGAAGAAAATGGTTAGAACTATCTTATTATAATTTCTTTGATTTTTGCAGCCTTCATGCTTCTTAATGAAATTTTGTTTTATAGAAAATTTTGTTCACTTTGATGAACTGCTGATTGTTGAAAGAATCATTTGTTACCACATATTAAGTGCTGCTATAATAGCATATGTTTTCAGGTAAACTGTGTTGCTTTAAGAAGTAGATCTAAATGAGAATTTATTTCTTGAATCTAATAGAAAAAAACATGATTCATGTAAAAAGCTTGTTGTTGTAATGAGGCTTTTGGTGCTTAAATAAATTCTGATTGAGAAGTTTCTAAGCCAATATTTGTTATGGAAAAACCCATAAGCCATTTTGGGTTCTCTCTCTTGTACAGTTTCTATTGTTATTGTGTTGTAACCAATTGACTCTTTATCTGGTTGGTATCTCGTCACGTATAGCTCATATTGGCAACTAAAAGGTCTTGGATTTGAGTATGTGTATGTGATGTGTGTGTGAATCTGTCTTAATTGACCTAAATGTCCGAAAAAAAAATCTCATCATGTTCATAATCTGACTGGTTCAACTAATCTGATTCGATTTTTACAACAATGTTACACTTAAAATAAGTTGTTTAGTGTTCTTCGCTATTGCAGTTTTGTAAATCAAAGGAAAGAGTTGAGCAATTCTTATTCAACATTCAATTATATTTAAGTTTCGTTTGAGATGGTTTTCTTACTGTTTTGTAAAACAGTTTTTTAGTTCAAAATTTTACTGAACTAAAAATTTTTGTACTAAAAAGTTGCTTTAGAAAGCAATAAGGAAGCAGTACAAAACAAAGCATTTGGTGAAATTAACTTTTGTTTATTTCTTTTAATTGGAGCTGAATCATAGGATTGGAATACCCCACCCAACTGATAATGAAATTCACATTTCCATTTGCATTTCATTTATCAGTCATTAATGTGATTGCCCATTCAATACCATCACTTTGAGCAAGCAAACAAGTCAGAATGTTACTGCACATTGCTTCACTTCTGCATTTTTCATTAAATATAAATATATATTTTTTTTTTCAGATTTTCATCAGCTTTGCCATTTCTATATATCTGATAGTGTAAATTAAAGGCTTCTAATTAAAAATTTATGGAGGGGTGAAAGATATGAAAGAAAAATATGCTTTATTCCTCTAAAATGGTGGAGTAGATAATTTTCATGATTAATTAAATTATGATATCAAATTTGATTAATTTCTATGATGATTTGGTCATGAATAAAGCATATATAAATAATAATAATGGACAATAAAGATAATTAGGATATGAATGACTCATTAAGTTCAATATTTACTACTCAAATCAAATGAATTTTTTAAGCATATAAAAAAACATATTGAGAATAAATTTAGTCATTTCATTTCAAAAAAAAATTATGTTAAAAATTGTATTCCAAGTGTGTGGGGTTATAACCTATATACTATTTATTTTTTCATGTTATATGATCATAAATTTTCAAGAAATGAGATTAAGGTTTCATTTGGGATGACTTTCTTACTACTTTTTAAAACTGATTTTTAATTTAAAAATATCTTGAAGGCAGAGGAAAAATAATGATCTAAAGTTGTACCAAACGAAGCCTAAATTAGATCAATAAGTTGTTTCTAAGTTGTGGGTCGACATTAATACTTTAGATTTTACATTTGAATGTGGTAATCTATAAAACTAATTATGTGGCAACAATCAATTTGTAATGATAGAAAAGTATTTTTTTAGGTACTTTAAATTCAAATTATTTATTTATTTTTAATGAATGTAAATGATTTGTGAGGATAATTGAATTTGTATATTTTTGCCTTAATTTCATTTTGGTTGCATTAGGTTAATTTTGAGCTACTGTATGTTGGATAATGTTAGCATGAACATGTTCACATCAGAAAAGCACCTTGTTAGTCTCATTGAAGAACATTAGCAATGCATGTCTAAAAAAACTTATATTCACTACCAAACATCAACATTATGGCTGACGTAGGCTTCGTTTGGGATTATTTTCTTACTGCTTCTTAAAGCAGCTTTCCAGCACAAAAATTTTAAGAAGCGGTAAGAAAATCATTTCAAATGAAGCCTTAATCATGGGCTTCACCACACTTAATTTTCTTGACTTGTTCTTGACATATCATGAGGTCAATATGCATCTTAGAGGATGAAGAGAAAATATGCTTTATTACAGAGATGGGGCTTTATTGCTCCTTTGGGTCTTTAGAACATATGAGTCATATATTAAATATTGATGGACAATATCTTCAAAAGTAAGAAGGCAATCATTTGGAGCTCTACGTTGATGATATTCTTTAAAAGCATGAGTGATGGCAAACACCTTTTTGACCTTGTCAAGTCATTTGCCTCGCTCATAATCTCTATTTTTAGCATAATCAAGCTAGTTTTTAGGCTAAATAGTATCATCAAGTGGGGCAAAGCAAATCATGACACAATCAAATATAATTTACAAACAAAGTTGTTAAGGTCCATCCAAACTGTTATAATTTAAATAGCAGCTTTATTGGCTTAAGCCAATTCATATATCAGATGGGAGCGAAATATTTTTTATTCTTTAAAACTGTCTAGAATTAACCAAATACTTAAATTTCAATGGTGGATGTAATGTCACCTAATGTCTTATGGGTCAAGTCAGCTTCAATGACCCATAATGGGTCACATCAGGCTTAGCCTGCATTAATTAGGTCAAGTTAGGGCTAATTTCTCAATAGTTTAGATTGATTAAGTCTAATTTTGTTTAGATGTTTAAAGCAAGTAGTTGCAATTTCTAATTGGATCCTCCTAAGGGTCACTCTAATCAAATGGGCCATATAAGTCAAGTCATATCTAGGTTTAGTCAAGTATAGTCTAGCATGGGTTGTACCTGAGATCATCTAATATAGGGTTGGCATAGAGTAACTTGAGGTTGATTAGGTCATGCTTAAGTCAAATTTGGGGGCCCTATAGAGGTCAACCTAGGCTAGGGTTGATTAAGGCAGGTTTGGGTTGATTTAGGCAGTTGAGTTTGAATAAGCTAGCTATAGTGCAATGGAGGATGAAATAAAATATATAAGTTCACATATACTTAGGTTACTTAGCTTGGGTCATCTAAGTTGACCTAGAATTAAGGCTAACTAGGTTAGTTAAACTAACTAGGGTATATGCCAAGTTTAGGAGTGTGGGTGTTGCTAAGATCAAGGTTACTCCAACATCACTCTAAGTTTAGGGTAAAGCTAAGGCTTGCGTTTAATATTACTCAATATTCTCTTGAAATCGCTATGCTATAGTCTACTAAGGGTAAGGGGTTCTGAAATAACCAGTGACCTTTAGATGTTATGTTCATTAAGAATCTAAGGTCAACTAAGGGTTCACAATCTCACGGGTGTTAAGGGTCTCATACAAGTCAAAGGACTCCTTAATCAAGGTCAATCTAGGTCTTAAGGTTTGTTAGACTTTATTAAGTATTTACATTATTCATTTTGGTATTATTAGGCAAATAAGATTTAGTAAAGAGATTATTAGGTTGGTTTTCCTACTTTGGGGCTTATTATCTAATTAGAACCTCAACAATTTATAGTCACCCTTGGCTGACTTTAGGCTAATTGAGTCTTCACTTAATTAAATTAAAATAATAACAATTCAATGGGTAGAAGGGGTTATAGAATATTAAAAATAGGTCATAGTGCCTCAAAGGTTCAAAGGGTGCTAATCAGGACTTTTATTACCTATTAAAGGTCACAAGTTAAGCAGAGGCTCTCCATGGTTAAATTTAATCTGGGGCGCTCAATGGAAAGTACATAGCTAATTTGCTTTAAAAAAATCAATTAATATTTGTATACTTGCAAATCATCCTTAATATAATTTAAAGATTCATAGATTTCATTGTTTTCCCTTATGTAAACAAAGTTAATAATATCTGTCTCTTGAAAAAGCTTCATCAGTCTTTCATTCATCTCCAACATGTTCTTTAACTACAACTTAATGATTTTATGCAAATGATTTGCTTGGTAAGATATAACACTCAACTTTTACGCAACACCCTTAATTGCATTATTCACAATCTCAAACTTATCTTTGAAGCATTAATAATTGTGCAAATGACCGACAAATTTAATTCAACCCCTTAACCCAAACTCAAGTTGTATAACTCTTGCTTCTACAAGATTGAAGCAAAATTGAAATGCTTGGCCAATAGGACAACTACTATACAAATGAGTGCAAGGAATAAACTACAATAAGTACTTGAATGTAAAGGATTATATCTAGAGTTTTTAACAAAATATTATGAATTAGAACAGAAGGCTTATAAATAGAAAAAGTAGTTATCAGCCTTATGGCCTTAAACATATATATTAATTCTATACAACCTTTAGTTGCACAAAATGAAGGAACTACTCTAACAACAATGGTATTCACGAGAATGCCAAATTCTTAGAGGAATGGTGGCCTATAAGAACGTATAAGGAGTTGGCACAATTTTGTTATGGTTGAGCCAACTTAGCTTAATTTGGACTCTTAAAGCCCCAACTCGAGTAGCCTAACTGTCCACGAGCTCAATATGAGATATCAAACATTGTCGATTAGTTTATTACATTATTTTGAGCTTATTTAGGTACCCAGTTAGTAAAATGAAGTTAAGTTATACTCTAATTTAGTCCATCTTAATTAAATCAAATATGCTTCCTATTAAAAAAAAATTTGCTAGATCAAACAAAAGATTTTAATAATCCCAACAAAAATTAAGTATCATTTTATAACTTGTAGCATAATTATTATATATTACTCGATCAACATATATAATTTCTTTAGTATTGATCACCTTTCATGATAAATATCATTTATATAAATAATCAATATAACAAATATTTATATTATGATCATCTAATTGCATAATTTACAAAATAATATATTTAAATTAAATTTCTAATCTCATAATATGTTTTTAAGGAGTATAAAACAATCATAAGTATAAACTTAATAGGAAATAAATATATAATTAACTAAGAATTTTTCATATAAAAAGCACTACTATTTTTTTTTTTTTATAGTTTTGACAATTAATAAGTTCCTAAAATAAAAAATATAGTTACAAAATATCATTTCTATTAATTTTTAAAAAAA